ACAAGGTCCCTTCCAACCCTACTTGTATGATTCTATGATATTGCCTCTTGGAGTATATTGCCAGTATATATAAAGGCAATTTACAGATGGATACCTGGGAAGTTTTCTGCCCTGGGCAGTGGCAGTGCACAGGGCATCAGCTGCAGTTGGGCTGCCATCAGAGGCAGCAGCCAGGACAGCAGCACGATGGCTTCTATTTTTGCACCTCTCCTAAAGGCACAGACAGAAGTGATAATTTTGGCCACAGTAAGCGGTGTATAGCCATGACCAAACACAAATGCACAGTTACATACCACCTCAAAATGGCCAACTGGGCAAAAATCTGAACCCTCATTGCATGAGGAGTCAAATAAAGATGTTTCAAAACAGAGCATCTTCTGTAACTTGTGTCTGTGAAGCCTGTGAGCTTCCTAGCAGTTTTCAGAATGGGAGGGGGAAAAGCAGGCAGAATGAATTCGATCTGGGTTTTCTCAGAGTCGGGGGACTCCAGTTCACCCCCCTACCCCACCCTCCAGCACTGCCTGGGGAACCCCTAGAATGAGGTCCCTCTGCTGCCTTTTCCCCCTCCCATTCTGATAATTTTGCAGCCTCACAGGGAGGAGGGGTTGTTGCTAAGGGAAACTTGCTTCAGGCTGGCAGCCAGCAGATAGATTCCCCTCCCCACTAGAACCAACAGTGAACTTCTGTTTACTCCCAGAGATCATTATAACTCAGAACGAGTTATGAAGTGCACTGGGAGTTGCACTTCTGTCTGCACCCTAAGTTGGTGCGTGGGGCTAATGCCCCACTCCTTTCTTATGCTACTTGTAATATCTGAGCTACTGTTAGAAGCTGCCCTGAACATTTCCACACTTTCCAGAGAGGAGAGGCTATTAACTATAAAGTGTTCAGTTTCTCGAGCAAAATACATTCTACATTTGGAGGTTAGTCAGTTTATAGGCTATAGTGTCAGCAATTAGATACTGTAGTTGCTGGTGCACTAGAGCCAGACGCTGTCTAGCCCCCAACAAGGCAATAACGCAGTAATTTGAATTCAATTTAATTACTTTATTGAAAAAAAAACGGTTTGACATTTTAATGTTCACAGTAAGTTCACACCTCATTGAAAAGAACCTGGTTGGAGAGGGATGTGTTCCCAGGTGTGATTTTTCTTTAACCCATATAAATATATTAATTTATTCCCTTTCAAATCAAAGGGACACAATCATAGTAAACCAAATATCCATGCTACAGTTAAGCTTTCAAATGTCAAGATTTTTACTTACAGCACTGTTCAGCAAGTAGAGGATTTTTTTTAATAATGAATGTTGTGTCTTTATTTTCCACTCCTATATCCCAAGAGTAGCTATAGGAATTTTGTTCAAACAACTGTTTAAACAGAGATCAAATGTGGATAATGCAACCCAAGAGTTGAACATATTGAAGTTATAGGAATATGAATGTAAAGTGTTATGATGGGAAATGTTTGTAGCTTTTTTCAAATGAGTTTCTCGTTTTCCTGATGACAACCTTTTTTATTTTATGGCTAAAATGATTGATTTGTTAGGATAAGTGATAATATTTATTTAGGAGATAAGGAGTTTCACATATGATGATCCTATTAAAACCAGTTGGCAAGCTCTTTGCTATATCCTAGATATGTTAAAAACATGGCATGATTCTATGTGCGAGAAAAAAATCTAGTATGCAGAGGCATCCCACCACTCAGCAAGAGCTTCAACACAATGAAGTTTCCAGCAGCTATCCTGAGGGGCCTTGTAACAGAGAGCCTAGGGCTCCTGTTATTTTTAAGGAGCAAAAATGTAGTAGATAGAGCCAGACATCTGCATGGGGGCTAGCTGCAATAGAGTAAGCAGTGAAGAAACACTGCTTCCTAAGCAGAGCTGCACAATTAAGAAAGGTGAATACCTGCAGCCAGTTGAAAGAGCACTGCTCCATGTAAGCTGGCTGCAAGTAAATAGCAAGCCAGAAGTTTAAAGCTATGAGGACATATTGCAGAGCTACTTGCTTAGCAATGTTGTAATAGGGCAGAGCCCTGCTATAGACAACAAGGGCGCTGTTAGAGCCACAGGTGTATGCCACCAGGGAGACCAGCTGTCAGGCCCAAATGAAAAATGCTTGCAGCTGCCTGGGGAAGCCACTTGACCAGTAAGGGGTGGTGCTGGGGCAGCCTATAAACGTAGCTGGAGTACTGCATCCAGTTTTGGTCTCTATAACTCAAAAAGGATGTGGAGAAGCTTGAGAGTCCAGAGGAGAGCCATGCACATGAGCAGAGGTCAGGAAAACAGATGTTATGATGACAGGCTGAGAGCTATGGGACTCTTCAGTGTGGAACAGCGCAGGCTCTGGGTCAATCTGGTGGCTGCCTATAAGTTTATCAGGGGTGCTCACCAGGATCTGGGGGAATGTCTGTTCACCAGAGCATCCCAAGGGATGACAGGGGTGAATGGTCACAAACTCCACCACAACTGATTCAGGCTGGACATAAGGAAGGACTTCTTCACTGTCTAAGCCCCCAAGGTTTGGAATAGATTGCCACTGGAGGTGGTTCAAGCACCCACTTTGAACGCCTTCAAGACACATTTGGATGTTTATCTTGCTGGGATCCTATGATCCCTGCTGACTTCCTGCCCCTGGAGCAGGGGGCCGGATTTGATCCTCTGGGGTCCCTTCTGGCCCAAATGTCTATGAAACATGGTCATGTTCCCACTACATGGGTTTAGGGATTGTCCATTCTCTCTGGGCTTAGGTGTGTTGTAGACAGTTCTATGCTGTATTCCAGGTACCTATACTGTATAGCTCTAATTCTTATTTTTTGTTAGGTGAATGGAGTTGTATTATGGCCCTTTTATACACTTTACTTGGACAAGTTGGTTCACTGAACTAATGGTATTGTTCTGAGGAAAGAAATGCATCTGTTCGCTCAACTCATTTTGGCCACTTTAATAAATAACTGAGCTGCACCCACTTGCTGAGATGATTTCTGTGGAAGTCAACACTACTTGCATGAGTAAAGCTAGCAGGATCTGGCATCAAATCTCTGGTAAGAATGTCAAGTTATTCAAATATGCGTTGTATCTTATTTGTACGCATCTATGCCAAGTCTAAAACTTGAACTATAAATTACTGTTTTTCCCATGCAGTACTTTCAAAATGCAAATAAAAATATGTACAGCTCTTAAACAGTTCCTCAAGAGGGAGAAAAATCTTTCTCCTTTTTATCTTTCAGTTTATTTGATCTAGGTATTCATTTTCAAATTCATCTTTAATGACAACTAGGAATAGCAAAAATGACTATAAACATAAGCATTTACAAATAGCTCTACTTCCATTTTAAAAAAATGGAACACCTTATTTCTTATTCTAAAGGGGGTAGAAGGTGCCTAGAATAGATGGTGTGGCATAAAATGTTCTGGAACTTAAAAATCACCAATACTAATGTATTGATCGTTTAAAACAGCTGCTGTTACGATTTGAGTCAGAAGTCTGGCATAAAGCATACATGTGTAATGAGTGCACGCAAAGTTTTTGTGAAGTCCAAAGCTGTAATATTAAATACTTTGATCAGGCAAATAGTAATATTAATATTGTATGTGTCATGGGTTGCCACATCTGATAGGAGGGTTTTTTGTTTTGTTTTTTGCTGGGAGGGGGTTAATTAAGTTCAATTGCTTATCACAGGTTGAATCTGTCTTTCTTGTACCTTCATTTATCCTGACAGACAAACATGTAAACAGTGCACAGTGGGAATCTGGGCATAGATAAAGGTGTGTGCTTACTCCAGCAATATTTGTTGCATTTTAAAGTGGGAGTACATGTCTGTCCACAGTATCTATTTCTTGGCCCTTGGTAAAATAGCCAAATTCTACAATCATGCCATAATGCCCAAGGTACTATATTCATCATTGCATGATTGGCTAGCATACAAACAGTGCTCACATAAATATACAAACACTTCATGTTTTCAGAGTTGTGCAGGTTTTGCCCACTTCAATTGTAGCTAAAATGTCATCTCTTCCTTGCATCCAGTGAAGTGAATAAACTTCCTCCCATTTGAGGATGACCAGGGCTACATACTATAGAAACAGTGTGCTGTTTGTGTGGGTGTTTTTTGTTTTTGTTTTTTTTCCTTGTGAAAGGCTTAGGCTTGCATTCTTTTTGAAGAATAAAGACAGCCTAGTAATCCTTGAAGTAGACTGTATGCTATACAAGCAGTATGTAGTAAGTCAACTAAACTACCCAATTTTAGAATAATAGCATTGGATTGAAAGAACTTTCAATCCTAAGTATAAAGGAATGCATACTCCTTGTTTTGCTGGTATATTTTCTATATCTATATCCATCTCAACATGTGTGAAATTCCTGCCTGCTCAAGGGTATAGGTTGTAGCCATGTTGATCTAAGGATCTTGAGGTACAACTGATCTTTTAGATCAACTAAAATAGTTGGAGAAAAATTCTTTGTAAGCTTTTGGGCACAAACACCCTTCATCGGGCTTAGGAAGTATCTGCAGTTGGTCTGTGTTCTTCCTGGATGGGATAGAATAGAAGCCAGAGAGCCCAGTTCGAGTGAAAATGCAAATTGAAGCACTGGTGGGTGAAAAATGGGAGGGGAATGTAGAGCTGCTGATGACTCTTTCCTCGTCTCTCTTCTCCCATGGCTGGGCTGGGTGGGGCCAAGGGACCCACTGCAGGCTTGACAGAATCACTTAACAGAGCCCACAGGCTGGATCTGGCCTACTATTTTGGTTGGGGCTTTTGTTGGGGTTTCTTTTGTTTTTGCTTTCCCCCCCTCCCCCCATCTGTGCTCTATGCTCTCAATCACTTTATACACTGGATATTACAATGCATGGGAGATCCCGAAATTTTATCATAGTGAGCCAAGAGTCCACTCTGTCAATTTCCATATATCAGTTTTGTATAATATTGAGACACTGGCTGTCTTCTGCCTATTCAAGACCAGTGTTGATTTTTACTTTCTAAATGACTTTCCAATAGCTTTTAATATTGGAAAAATGTATGCAACAGGAATGAGAATTTTTCAAGAAATGATTTACTGGTATGGTTCTTTTATATTCTTCCTCCCTGAGGTGTTAAATTTCACCAACAAATTTGTATAAAACTAAGCAGACATTGATTTTTTTTTCCTTTGTTTGTTTTTGTTTTTCTTGTGGTAGTTTTTTTGGTTTTAAGTTAAACATCAAACTTGGATTGAATCAAGAGATAAATACTGCCTGACTTGAAGTTCTTTTCAATATTGACTTTATGGGAAAACCTAACTATACATTCACTGAAATATAGTGAGTATATTTAGATGTGTTGTCTTTTTTATTGTTTCTTTGACCCACCACTGTACAAAGTGACAAGAACTTAAGTAAGAAACAGGCATGTAATGTAAGAAAATAATGCAACACTAGTGCCTCGAGGGTTTTGGATCATATAACACAATCTGATTCAGTGCCTTTTTAACTGAGTTTATTCCTTCTGTGGTTTGATATTGCTCCTCCATTTGAAATCCCTGGAAGAACTTCCGTTGACATAGTTCAGGATCAAGACTTGCAAGAACATCATTGCTAACAACTGCGAGACAAAGAAAAGTCCAGATGACTAATACTCACAAAATACTGCTAATGCTATGGGTGTAGTAAATGGCACTGGAAAGAGCTGACTATGCCTTGGAAAGGTGGGGGTGGTGGGGTAGATGGGGAAACTTGTGCTGAACAGCCTATAGTGGGGAAGGGGAAGAGCTTCCTACATTCTGAAGCAGCATTCCTTCCCCTTCCTCCCCCCCCCCCCCCAAA